TCTATGTATGACTCGATCTTTTGGTGAGAAGGAGTCAATGTCGAACATATAGTTGGTGAAAACCAAAGAAAAACTTAATGCTCTCCAATTGCATCAAAATTATCAAAAGTTCAAAAATATTTTCATTTATACTAAAAATTACAAAACTATAGCATAAATCATGTCATTTATTTTACTTTTTTGCAAACTTTACTTCATTCATTTAAACTTTCAAAGTATATAGGGGGAATTAGACACCCTCTAAGATTACTACAATACAAATTAAACGTAATAGAACATAAATAGATAGATCATCTCGGAAGATGGATAGTGGATCCGAAGCAAGCCTCAAATGCATCAAGACAGTTTTCACGGCAAAACCGGAAAATCTGAAATTAGTCAGGTTCCAATGTGACGTTGAAATCGAACTCCTACCTCCGGTAATCGTCAAAACGAACTCGGTCGCTTCTTCTGGTCCCATACAGACCGCTACACACAAAAAAATAAGACGGTGAAAAAATTCTTAATGGTTCCTGGCGAATAACTCAGGAATACGAACACTCTCAACGAGAGGAAAGAAGATGGAAGAATTTTTCCCCCATGGGGGGAAGATGGTGAACTTGATCTCTCCCCGAGAGGGGAGGACATTGAGTAATATCTCTCCACTAGGGAGGAGTTTCGTAAGTTAGCCATCCTCGTAAAATCCGTGGTAATAATCTTGCCATGAACGCAGAGAAAACCATCAACAGAATTGGCCTCACAATGATTAGAGGATGGGCTAGAATAACATGATTTTGTGGGACTAGGTAGCCCACATATCAGATTGGACCAAGCCCATATTTCATTAAAGTCGAAAAGGAGATCAAGTATCAAGAAGACGGAGGAGTGGAAACTTCGTGATGGAGGACCCAACTAGAGCAGAAATCTTCACTGGCGGGAGAGATATCAGGTGAGACAGAGAAGTCGGGATGAGATCTTGGTGAGGAAGGGGATCTTATAGTCACCGGAGCAGGACTCGAATCCGGATACTGAGAAGGGCGCGTGTTGTCGACAATGAGTAACAAGCGGTGGCGATAGCATAGAAGCAGACGATGAAGAGAATATGTGCCATGTCGCAGTGGGTCCGGTGGTTCTGGCGAATCCGGTGGATTCGGTGGCTCAGGCGGAAGGGAAAGGTTTTTCATCCCCGAGACTGGAATAACCCGAATCCGGGAGTGAAAGAAGCTCGGATCTACTCGAGAACTACTGTCCGGTGAGAATGAGAGGGCTATAAAAGAGAGAGTAGTCATCATCTCAAGGAGAAAATGTCACCGGCGAAGGATAATAACGAACGTCTTCCCGAAAAGGAGATGGATCTTCAGGAAACAAGAGGAGATCCCGAGAAGGCATCGGCTGAAGATTTGTGAACGGTGCCTCGGAATCCGTGTCTAGGAGAGAAAGAAAATCTGGGCGAACGTTTTAATCTTCTTTAACTCATGTCATATATTATACATATTTATGTAAAAAAACTCATGAATTTGTGTACCAATTTCGGAATAGCATTTGGCTTTAAAGTTGCTGAAAAAAATTTTGGCGCAAAAATTACAATATCTAATTTTATTTTGGG